GGCAAAGATTCATAAATGCTTTGGAGAGTATTACCAAATCCTATATTCCCAACCCAAATTGAATAATGAACAGCAAATAGATACATTCCTTTCTCAACTCACTCTGCACAACATTACAGCCGAGCAAAACGAACAATTAATATCAGAGATAACTGAGGCAGAACTAAGATCGGTGATTAAAAAGTTAAAAGGAGGGAAATCTCCAGGAACGGATGGGTTTACCTCTGAGTGGTACAGAGAAATGCAAGATCTATTAGTCCCTGTTTTATTAAGAGTCTTCAACAATGTTCTGGAGAAGAAAATAATTCCTCCTTCATGGAGAGATGCAATTATTTCATTAATCCCCAAGGAGGGAAAGGATAAGTTGGACTGCAGAAACTACCGCCCGATAAGCCTGCTTAATATTGATTACAAATTATTTACTGCCATAATTGCACAGAGATTAGAAAACATCTTACCAGTGATAATTCATAAGGACCAAACAGGCTTTATCAAACAGAGACAGACACAGGACAACATCAGAAAAACTTTGCACATCTTAAACCATGTAGTTCAACAAAAAATAGAGACCCTTGTACTGAGTCTGGACGCAGAGAAGGCTTTTGACTCGGTAAGATGGTCCTTTCTCTACAAAGTTATGTCCAGATTTGGGTTTCACCAGAACATAATTGATGTCATTTCAGCCCTATACAATAAACCATCGGCTAGGATAAAAATTAATGGAGACCTATCTGACCCCTTTGTTTTAGAAAGGGGTACGAGGCAGGGATGCTGCGTTTCGCCGCTTCTCTTCGCCCTTTTCATAGAGCCGTTAAGTCAATGGATAAGACAGAGAACAGACATAGCTGGGGTTCGCATGGCATCTGGGGAACAGAAGCTTTCATTGTTTGCAGACGATTTGTTGCTAACCATTACAAATCCATCTCAAACTCTACCTGTACTTATGGGAGCAGTCGAGGAATATGGCTTGCTCTCGGGTTACAAGATAAATGTTACCAAGACTCAGGCTCTAACAATAAATTATAACCCACAGAACAATATTAGAAAACTGTACAGTTGGAACTGGGAGGCAGATTCCATAAAATATTTAGGGGTCACATTGCCCAAGGACTTTTCTAAGATTTTTGATGTCAACTATGGGCCCCTAATCTCAAACCTGAAATCAGACATACAGAGATGGAACCTGATCCCTTTTTCAAATTTATACTCCAGAGTGGAATCGGTCAGAATGAACATTCTCCCACGCTTCCTTTATCTATTTCAATGTTTACCTATCCTGATATCAGAAAGACGTTTTATAGAATGGGAAAGAATGATATCTCAGTATATTTGGCAGGGAAAAAAGGCAAGGGTGAGGTATAGGACACTGCAATTAAAGAAAGAGAAAGGTGGACTGGGTCTTCCCAATTTGCAAGTTTATTACCTTGCAGCTCAGTTAAGACCAGTGTTCTGTCTATGCCCTCCATCATACGATGCAAGGTGGAAAGATATGGAAGGTAGAACAGTGGAGGGAATACCCCTAATTTCAGTATTAATGGATACGGAATTACAAGATGGGCTGAATATACCACAAGGTTCAATGTTACACACAATGCTGGATTCCTGGAGAAAGGTGATTCAAATCTGTAAATTGGGCAACCAGATAAAAATACTCAGATGGTGTGCCTTTGACTCTGCTTTTAAACCGAATAAGATGGATGGGAGATTTAGAGGATGGATCCAAAAAGGAATAACCACCTACTATACATTTACCAAAAAGGGGGTATTTCAGAGTTTTGAGGAGCTTCAGAGATCTAATGGGTTAGAGAGGGACGACTTCTTCAGATATTTACAAGTGAGGGCCTATTTCAATCAAAACATACGTAATGATTGGGAAACAGCCAAATCAAAATTGGTTGATGTGTTTTTGTCTTTGTTGAAGTCAGGTTCATGCAAGAAACTTGTTTCCATACTTTACAATGCTATTCTATCTTCTAAACAAGGCGATACGAATTATATAAGGAACAGGTGGGAAAAAGAAGGAAACGTAACTATCTCAACTGAAGTCTGGGAACAGATTAATAAACTACACTGGATGACTTCAAGCTCCAACACATGGAGACTGTTCTGTTGGAAAAACTCTGTTCGATATTTTGTAACTCCAGCTCAGAAAAAACATCATGGCAGCGGAGACGCCTGTTGGAGACTCTGTGGAAAAAACGGAGCAAATCACCACCACATCTTTTGGGGATGTCCGGTGATTAAAGATTTTTGGGAGCAAACGTGTTCCCACATAAACAACATCTTCACTAAAAATCTCCCGTGTAAATGTGAAATTCTGTACTTAGGAAACATTCCATCTGACAACTGGACTCTGGAAGATAAAAAACTGCTGTTAATGCTGCTGGCTGCAAGTAAAAAGACAATCACCAGAAAATGGTTCAAACCTCAAGCACCTACAGTAGAGGACTGGTTTGGCATAGTGCAGGACATTTACATGCTGGAGAAGCTAACTTTCTCTGTCCAAGGACGTAGGGAATCTTTTTTCAGGATTTGGTCTAAGTGGACAAACTATATAAAACCAGTAATCCCTGTGATCTAAACTTGTCTTATCACATGCAAATACTGTTGTGCTGTGTACTGTTCCCTTTTGGCAGGCTTATGTCCTGAATTGTGCTTTTCCCCAAAAATAAGGAAAATTTGAATTAGACCTCATGTTCCCACCCGCTCGTTTTTTTTTTTTTTTTTTTGTTTTTTTTTTAAGTTATAGATGTTTGGTTATTATACAAAAACTCCGGATCGGCTTATGTTATTCTTTCCCATATTTCCACTGTGGTGGAAGTTTGAATGTACAAAGTAATTGTAACCTGCCTTTCCAAATAAAAACTTCAATAAATCTGCAATCAATGCCAGTAGTACGTTTTGCAACATAAGAGTTAGAAAGGAGAAACCATCACATTTCAGTTAATCTCTTTACTTTCTATGCATGGTTGCGATTGGCTTTGTCTTTTTGTTAAATACTTATTTCTTTTATTCATCAACATCGCTTACATAAGTACTTATTTGTTTATTAAAATTCCTTCGCAATCATAAGTATTTGGCATCTTGACTGACATGGTGTTCATTTCATACCCTTAGCTTGATCAGAAATGAATTTAAACAGAGGAGTTTTGGTGTTTTTAATAAACTAATTTACAGATTTCTGATAATATTCCTGTTTGGAAAGATATTTTAGGAAAGAGGTAGAATCATATTTCACAAAGAGAATGTGCAGCAGTGGTGGAGGGAAATGGAAGGGTGGAAGGAGGCATTAGGAATGTGGGATTCCAGCTATGTCATGCTGGATGTAGTAGGGATGGGGGGGGGGGGGGGGGGGGGGGGGGGGGGGGCACAAACTCGCCCATAACATGAATGTAAAAAAAAAAAATGGAGGGACAGATGTTTTCCCATAGTGTCAGTGTCTGTCCAGCTACTTTCTCTGACAGCTAAACCAACTGACTCCTCTTACATAGCCTCCTCCCCTCTTATTTTTAAGGCTTCCGTCTTTGTTTATTGGTTTATTTCTCTCACTTTTCAACCAAAAAATCTTACCACATTTGCATCATACTAACCCCTAATAACTCATCCAAAACTAAAGCTTTTGGCTGTAAAACACTATAGCTGCTGTTGCACTAAAGGGGCAAAAAGCAAACTATTTTAATCCAGGGATAAAATTATTAACAAGAGGAATACAAAAATGCATTTGTTCTCCTTACTGATACAGATTCAGCTTACTCAAAAGGAATAAAAACTGCAATTGTTTTAGTCTTATTTGATTGAGATTTAACCAATTTACAATATGAATACAATATCGAATGAATGTGCTGCATGTGAGGGATTAATTCCACTAATAATCACTAAAATCTCCATGCTAGCAATAATTGCTTACATAATTACATTTACTGCAAGCTTTCAAACATGTGAAACATGGATCAATCCTGCTTGGTCCGAATAACAGAAACATACACATTCTGTTTCATCTCATGTCCCTAAAGCTGAAATCCTTCCTCATCAGCTGTAATCTACTAATATCAGCAAGGTCGTGGCTCATATGAAGGCTCCATTTTATATTGGCCTTCTGTATTTCAATTTTATCTTTCAGGGCAACAGTCGGACATAACAATGAGCAATCCAAGCAATGCAGATGGTTTCACTTGTCGCAAATGCAAGACACCATAAACACATACTCATGCACAGTGAAAGCCATTTCTTGAATCTCATGCTCTCCAAGCTGCCCTTCCCCCACCCTGAGATCACTCTCATTCTCACATGCGTGCACCTTGATTAATTAACGGCTGAGCCTCTGAAGCTGTTCTGACCTTTTCTTAACCCACATTTATATACACACGTTAACAAATGGCACTAACAGAATCAAAATGGAGCCCGGTAGGAACAAGAAACGGTTTTCCTTCATTCTGTGCAACATGTAAAACATGCAGTGTTTAGAAAGAGCTAGGTCTCTATAATAAGGCTATCTCATTATAGGGAGGTTGTTTTAATCACTAGGCCTGCCTAATGAAAACAACCCTGGTATCAAACATCGATTTCAGTATCAATTTGCTAATGAGACTTTATCCCTTACTCAACTGATCAGCAACAAATCCATATTTCTTTCATCTAATTTTGAAAGTCAGACACTAATTACATTTTAAATGTAAATTTCAAAGCATGAAAATAAAGGCAGGATCCTGTGGCCTGTAGCATCTGCATCAGTGTAAGCCTTTGGGAACCCGCAGTAGGTGTGCTAAATCTATAGGTATTAGTCATCTGCATTAGTGCCATACATCCAGATCATCTCCATGTACTGAAACCAGATTCAACACGTTCCAACAGAGGAACCAGAGTCAAAAGATATTTAAAAGGGGCGTCTTGACTAACTAACTAGCAAAGGTGGCTAAGAGTAGACTCACTTTTATTTTTCACTATTACAGCAGCTTATGTGATCTCTAGCAGACCCTAACAGAGTGAGCAGGAAGGTTTACCTGGTCATACCACTCCCGGTTGGTGCAGGTGCACTCAGGCCACCATCCTCCTTGTCCACTGGAGTTGTTGCCATTTACTTTGGGTCCACCCTTGGACTGGCCCTTTGGGTTGGGGCCTCCGGGGCCTCCACCAGACATAATCTTGCCCTTACTTCTCCCCAAAGTGCCACCTCCTCCTCCTCCACCACCACCTCCTCCACCTCCCATGTTTCCACCCCCTCCTGAGGCTGGAGGGGGTAAGGTCTGTCCTCCCCCATACCCAGGTGGGTATCCATAGGGCTCGGCCTGCCAGTCTCCTCCGTAAGCCGGGGCATCCATCCTGCGCAGAGCTGCCATACGGGTCACCTCATAACATTCTGGGCACTTGCAGCAGTGGTGGTGTTTGTGCATGCTGGCTGTGCTGGCTGGGCTGACGCTGAGATGAGCGGCGTGGCACTCGGTCTCTGCTGCCTCCTCAGATCTCACACGGCACGCTGTGATCGGCACACAGAGCGCTTACGCCAAAGGAAATAACACAAATCACTGGAATTTGTACAGATTTCCCTTCTTTTTTCGTTTTTTTTCTCTTTTTTTTGGTCAAATCCGGCTGTTCCCCGCCTTATTCCTCGTGGACGAAGAGAAAAAAAAAAAGCTGAAACTGAGACAGATGGGAAGCAGCAACAGGAAAACAAAAATACAAAATGGGCACGTAGTCTTTGTCCTCTTGACGTAGAAGATCAAAGGAAATATTTAAGATATTGTATGCCACCACGCAATCAGAGACCAGCCCTGATGATAGAAATTATAGAAATTTCTTCTTGCTTCTCTTGGCTCACAGTGATACGCATATAAATTCATAGATATATAGATTCTTTTGTTTATATATCATATATATTTACACACACAAATACATATAAAAATATTAATATAAACAGACGAGCACAAATACGGATATGTACAAGGATAAATGTATATTTATATATATAAATATCTATATGCGTGTGTACAAATATATATATAGATATATAAACAATATGTATAAATAAATGATATCCGCAAATGAAAATCTTCCTTTGTTGATTTTGTATCTTCTTGATGTGTCAAAAAAAAATCTCACGTTTTTTTCTTCCTCCTGCGTTGAAAATCGTTGCCTTTCGCTCTCTGTCTCTTTTCCCAGCCTGCAGAGAGGAGCTGAGCGCTGGATCGCCTCTCAGTCAGCTTGCCCTAGATGTGGATTATTCAGAGAGATGCGAGGGAGCAAGAGGGAGGTTGGTGAGAGAGAATGGGAGGTGGTGGTGGTGGGGGGGGATCGGGATACGTAGCAGCATCCTTCTAGCAGCTCAGTCCTGACAGCCACAGCCAATCAACTTGCAGCGTTACCATCAGCAGCACCAACAGGACTGAGCGCTTCACTAGCTGCCTCTTAAAGGGCCAGCGACATGGACGCCTCACTGCTGCCCGCCTTGGGTGAGGAGGCACTTCTTTATGAAGTACGCCATGGTAAAAGAAAAAAAAAAAGCATGACAAACGTTTGTTTCCTTGATATTTTAAGAGAAAGAGCAAGGGAGTCGTAATCCGCAATCAGTCAATGACGACCCCAGACAGTAATCCATCAAAAGAGAGTTTAATCCATGTTTTTCATCAGGCCAGTGCAGCCAAAATCCAACTTACAATGACCACCCCTGTCCCTCCAACTGATCACTGGCTGCCTCCTCCAGTCATCTCTAGTTCAGCCACAGACTTAGCGGCTGGCCTGTGCTGTGCTATCAGTGGCATTCCTCAGGCTCTCTGCCACAGCTTCACATCAATGAATAACCTCACAGTAGAAGTATCACTGTGTATTACTTTTAGAAAATAAGTAGCGGGGAAATTCAAGTGTACCAGCAGCAAAGAGGCAGGCAATTCAAAGAATTTGGATCCACACAAAGGTACAAAAATAAGAAACAAAGTCAGAATAAGAGACTGTAGAGTATGTGCAAATGAACAGGATAAGAAAGTGCAGTTATTTAAATCAATTCAAATACATGTCAGAATAGGCTGCTCTGCAACAGCTTCATGCATGGGCTGGGAAACGGTCTAAAAGTGACGATATTCTTGTCTCTCAGCACCTGCAGTGAGCTAAGGAGGCATCCTGGGACAGAGCTGGCCTTCTCGATGAATCTAATCTAACAGTTTCCTCTCAGCTGTAGAGAAGCTGCTGCTTTAACAGTCTTCACCCCCCCCCCCCCCCCCCCCCCCCCACACACACACACTTTTTCACTGCGGGTTGTTGTTGAATAATTTTCCCGCTCATGTGCAAGGCTCGGTCAAAATAAGCTCAGCGGAAGAAATCTGCCCTCGTGGAGCCTGGTTTAGAAACCGTTGGGGAATTATTTCAAGTTCACAATGATGACATCAACGCATGTGTACCAAACCAATAAGATTACACGCTTTGGCTTTCAAGTGGGTGGAGGAAGAGACTGAGAGTGTGAATGTGTAAAGGGAAAAGAAGAAAAGGAGTGCATACATGGCTTTCATGTTACTGTGGCAGTTAGATTTTTCAGTAATTTGATAGGACTGCCTGTGAGCCATTTTACATGCTAATGAATTTATGGTTTAATTCTAATATGAAACATCTCGATATGGAAAGAGAAGGTTTGTCTTTAGAGGGAGCTGGTGGAAAGTGTTACACTGTCGCCATTAAAGCCCTGTACGTATGTATTATTAATGAAATGTGATGGGGAACAGAGCAGGGTGTGTCATTGTGGGGTAGAGTGTGTTTAAATGTAGCCTTGCATGTTATCAAATGAAATAAACTTAAATAAAAAGCTTTTCTTGTCGTATGCACAGTGAAGGCAAACCTTACCCTGTATAAAGAGTGACTGTACTCTCCACATTGATTGTTAATTAAAAAAAAAAATAATAAAATAAGCCTGCTAGTAAGTACAATATAATAAATAGCAATGCAGAAAAGAGCACCAGCTTGCAACATTATCTGCTTTTTATATCACGGGGCTTATAATCAAACAGTGCATGTTTCAGCTTTAAATTTAACATCAGTTTAGCATTCTGATCAAACTAAAAAAGGATCTTAGTATGAAGCTTGCTGCATTCTGTAACAACCCTTCTAAGAGACTCACACAGCAGGCTCAGCCACACTTAATTACATGCAACAGTAACTCACTTCTTTCTAATGATATTCTTTCACTCCATCCTAGTCTCACCACCAGGAACTGCAATCCAATACAGAAGCAAGGAACCTCTAAATACTTCAGGATGAGGCCACAAACCCCTCTGAGGTCAATGAGGGTGGTGAGGTAGAGCTTTGAAGCACATCAATCCAGACACACACCTGACCGCTTACATACTGAAACTAAACCTTCCCACTTTTATTCTATGGCTAACTTCAGGGCAATCAGAATGCGTAAATAAATAAACTGAACCTAGGATACTGATTTGCATTACTAAAAAAAAGAACTTAGTCAAATATGTTTTCAGCCACAAATGAAAGCAGGGGGAGTGTCTTCTTATAATATTATCTATATGTGCGACAAATTTGTAAAGCTAAAAAGAACAGGGTCGTATATTATACAGCAAAGGCAAACTTTAGGTTTGAACCAAGGCGTACTAATAATCCTGATAATTATTTTTTCAGTTATTACCCTATCACGAGTTACAACTAGACTAAGGATTGTTCTGATAATAATCATTAAACAACAAATTAAGAAGTAAAACGTTAAATTCATATATCAGCTCCAATTTAAGACAGATGCATTCAAAAAAAAGGATCAGAGTAAAAGTTTTAAATAATAGCTCAATACCACTGATTGTTTAACATTAAATATCCAAAATGAAGAGAACAATGAGATTGGTTAATTATTGCTGCTGTTTTTAATCTTTATAGTAGTGGTAATGCTGCCAAAATGTTTAAAACCTAAATTACCCAAAATAAGATGGAAATAAATATACTTAAATAACAATTTTTTATTAATTGCAATAGAATAGAAAATAATGTAACTCACAGAATTAAATAAAGAATGTAAATAAATCTCAAATAGGTTAAATTTATATAAAATTAAATACAGTCAAGTGTAATTAAACCTAGGTGAATAATTCATCCATCTAAGTTATATGCAAGTTCAAATTATATTATATTAATGTAACAGCCAGAGGTTTTAATTAATAGTTTTAATTTTGAATAAATGTGCGTTCTGAAAATCTCCTTGGCAAATTAAAAAGATGCATTCAATTAGGAGACTCTCAGTATACCACCTTGCAGTTCCTTTAACACCATCAGCTCAGCAACAGTCTGCACAGACCTTATTACATAAACCCACCTGGACATCCTGGCATAAACCCGCACACATACACATTCAGTTAATAACAAGTATTACAACCCCCAACCACTGCACAAACCGTGCATTGAGCTTTTCAGTCATTTCTAGGCATTTCTCTGAGAAGCTGTGTGACTGCTCCTTTGTCACCTGACCGGATGTAGGACCATAAAAGGACAGTCGGTAGTGAGGCAGTCTTAAAGTGGCAGGGTCCCAATAAAAATGGACTAGGCATCTCTGCTGTAGCATTTGATTATTGCAGGAAATGATGAAGAAGCATGTTTTATGTGTAGTTTCAATAATAAAGGAATCTAAATGATCAACTATACATTTAATAGATGAAACCTATGTGGAAGTAGGTAGAATAAAGGGGGTTAAATAACAAAATGAAATGCCAATTAACCAAAAACACTATTAAATAGGTTCTAGTTGCAAAAAAGAAAAAAATTAGAGGAAAAGGGAGAACGGAAAAATGCCCACTAAGGGAAGCTAAAAAATAAGAGCTGAAAAATAACGTTTGTGCAAGCATAAAAGAAATGAAGCCAAAGGAGAAGAGCCATGAAAGGGATGCAAGTAGGTGGTAAAAAAGGAAGGTGAGGATATTCAGAAAAAGCATAAAGGTGCTGCAGGTCCATGACAGATACCACAGTGGAGAAGAGAAGAAGCTGAGGTGCCCTGTGTGTGGGCAGAAATGCAATTACTAGAGGGGGCTTTACTGAAGCATGGTGCTGAACAGAAGGGGAAGTAAAAATAGAGAGATGCAGAGAAAACAACAAAGTGCTTATGCATCTGTGAGTGCAGCGGAATGCTAAATAAACTGTAATTGCCCATTCACCCCGCTACAGACAAGTGCAACGCACCTGAAATCAGTGTGCTTGCTGAGTGTGCATCGTGGCAAATGTGTAAAGATGGTGTGAAATCAGAGCAGAAAGAAAGGAATAAAAAAAAAAACATTAACAGGAATTAAAAGAGGAATGGAAAAAGACAACATGAAAAACAGAGAAGCGAGGAGAGAGATAGAGGCAGAGCTGTCTGTAGGGATGCAAGCGGGGGAGGAATGTGGTTTCCATGGTAACTGGGGGGGGGGGGGGAGCTCTGGGTGTCCGTTCCAGCTCCGCACTGCACCGGCCCTTGCCTCTCAACCGCCTTGCTATCCCTCTCCAGCCTCCCCCACCGCATCTTTCTCAATAGCCCCCCCTGAAACACACACACACACACACACACAACCCCCTCGTCTCTCCTCCTTTCCCCTGCCTCACCTCCCTCCCCCAATGTGACAGTGGGAGGATCAAACATGCACACAACCTGTGCCGTCACTGGATTCTCATGCAGGCATTATCATCCATGCACACTGAACCCATGTGCTTACCGCCTGCACCCCCCTTGTTTTTTCACCCCTTCAACTCCCCTGATCTTCACGCCTACAGCCCTCCAGCCCCACCGCCGCTACCGACTCATTGCACTAGATCGGGGCGCAGCTGAGAAGCTAAGGGCCTGCGGCCACTGTGCTGCCATGAGCCACTGTCCGTGCTGTAATAGGGAACGCATGTGAACACAAGGGCCTGTAAAAGCACTGAGGAAAATGGCAGGCTGCTGAGACATGAAACAAAAGATCAGGACTGATCCGATTACAAGTGTGAGCAGCATATTGGCCAACCTCTGAAGAAACTGCTGAACATCTTGTTTATCTGGCAAAAAGTTGTTTCATCTGAGGCCAAAAGCAGCAGTTGAAGAAATTAGATCCTTCAGTTAAGCAAATAAACGTAAGAATGTGTTCACTATAGATGCTGTCATTCAATTTAAACTCTAGACAGAAACATTTAATGGAAAATCTTAAATAATCTGATTAAAAACGCCCCAAAAAGGAGACCCTTACATTTTTCAGTATTTAAAACAGATGAACAAGGAGTTTATCATTGTAAAGTTAAAAGAAATGTGTATA